TGAGTGCCATTCACGCGACGTCCTTAGCCACCCCTATGCCTTTCAACTAACCTTCGCTTGCTGCATTGTGCGCAACCAAAGTTTCGCCGCAGGCCTTTTCCCTCCTTCACATAATAATTTCGGTTATGGCCCAAATTACACAAGGGATACACTTGAATGAATCAATTTGACTGCAACGCCTGCGGCGACGACTTCGATGAGGCCCAGCTCGCAGTATGACCTTGTGCGGACCTGTACTTGACTCGGAGTGTATAGCCTGCGGGATCATCATTTAACGTCTGCCTGACATTGCATGAGGTTGTGTTCTATCAATAAGTTAGTTATAAATCAGACGCTTTTGACTGTGGCGAAGACCACAAAAAACTTATCTGTGTGTGCGGTTGGCTTTGTCTAATTGTGTGTGTGCGCTATTGCGGTTTTAAGCTGTCACAACATGGCATATACATATGTGTTATATTTTCTATGAAAGCATGGATTTAGATATATAAATTTTATGGATGAACCAAATCCAAGCCAAATAAATCGGTTGTCTTAAGAAGAGTTGGCACAGAGTCGAAGAGACGAGAAGCTGAACTCTTTACAAGCACAGGGTATAATCAGATTAATAATAGAAATAAGAGTAATACCCAAGGCCTAATAAGAATTTTTAGCCGATATAGAATCTGTATCTCTATATAAAAGCGGTGATAGCTTTTTAAGACGTGTACAATTTTTTCTGCTTCTCCGTTTTTTTATACCTACTTAACAATCGTAAGAAATTAACCGGCCAGTTAGAAAATAGTCTTAAATCGAATAAATCTCATATTTAAAAAAAAAATCGTTCTACAATCCCGTCTATAAATGTACAGAACATTAAAGATAAAATAAATGAATTTATGTTCATTGCATGTGGAATCCATTCGATTTCTGATTTTTCTGATTCTTCCCTTGATAATCAACGAATCATCCACACATCCAACGAGTACTGTAGTGGTGTGCGTGTAATCAGAGCATATTTATTTGTATGACTCATTTGGCTGGCTGATTTCATGCTATTTTGTCCAATTTTGTTATGTAATTACCGCTGCTATTTGCCGAGTGGAGAACGGATACGGTGACAGAGACAGATGCGTAAACGGAAGCGAGCAAAAGGTCAGTTCTCTAGGCTCGTAGGGCCAACTGTTACAATTGTTTATGCTGGCGCTAAGCAAACAGTCCGCATAGTTGCACACAGACGGGCCCAGCGCTCTGCCAGCTGACCATCATCCTGATCAACTTGTATTTCCCTTAATCTGCCCACACTGCCTGCTGCAACAATGTCAACAGCAAAATGTGAAACTGAATTTTTCAGTCCCCTGGCTAAAGCTGCAACTGCAACTGTAACTAAAACTCACACTGGGCAGTTGAGGCATTTGCTGGCTGGCAAGTTAAATATACTCGGACAATTGTCGGCATTCTGCAGTCGTGTGTGTGTACTTTTGTTTAAGTTTTATACCGCCCTTATGTCTAGAATAGATTTAATAATGTCACATGCGAGCTGCCAAAGACTCTGATCTACTCAAATTTAAAGAAATTAGACTTTTATATAATAAACTTAAAATTCAACAATAAAATATGTACCAAATGTATGGTCTTCGTTTAAATAAATAATGCATACGTTTACGTGTCAGTAAACCGACTCCCCACCCGATACCCACGAAATACAAGATCCATGTAAAAAACACATTGTCAGTTTTACACAAAAAGCCATTAAAGCCTTTGGATCAACGGGTGCATGTATTCAGCAAAAAATTTGTGACTGGCATATCACTTCATTTAAACCTAAACCCACTACAAATGTTAAAAGGACACAATGGTTACATGAAATGTATATAAGAGACAAAAGTAGGATTCTTCGACCCCAAAAAGTACATATATTCTTGATCACCTAGAACAGCCAAATCAACGTAGACATTCCCGTCTTTCTGTCTGCTTGTATGTCTAAAGGCATCGAACTCAAATAAGTTATGGGGCTTTTGCATACACAGATCCAAAATATTTAACTTTTTGGATACCTGTCCTGGTTCCCACCAAAATTCCAAAAACTCTATGATTTTTGCTTTTTTTAGAATATCACATAGTCGGGCACTCCCGACTAGAGCCCTCTTACTTATTTTATAATGCACACCCGTCTAAAACGCTACAATACTAAAATTCTAATGACATTTTAAGCTTTTGGGCGAAAAGCACATTTATATAAGTGAATATATGTAAGCATGTATTTGAACATCATATGTCAGGCGCAGACACACGATTTGCGGTTCTTTCTTTTGGGTATTTGTCAGTGTTTGTGTCAAATTGCAGCGTTGACAACTGAAACGTGGTTAGGCCCAGAGACTCTCTCATTACCGCATCTTATGAACACACATATATACATCCTGCGACTCATTAGTGTTACGTTGGCTTTATTATGGCGTTTAATTACTTGACCAATTGGCCGGCCTGAAAATTTAATGTTATTTTGTCAATTCGTTCAAACCCGTTTGTTGCGTACGGTCGTTGCCAATGATTTTATTACATGCTTCTCCGTCCACAAATATTTAATTACTATAAGGTATGTAGACTGTGGTAAAGTCAGCTTTCCATATGCGATAATAAATATACATATATATATATAAACACATAGATGAGTCTTATGTTTGCCTATGAAAATGGGTGAACTTTAAAATTTGAAATTTAAGTGCGCCGGAGTGTAACTGTGTTTTCTGAAGTTTACAAATTATTTGTATGTGAATGTATTGCTGGTTTATTAAGCGCCACTTATTTGCGCCTTACGACCCTCGGGGTCATCATGCTGACCAATAACAATGCAAATAGTCTGGGCAAAAAGATAAAACTATCGCTTTAAATAAGCTAGCAGAATAGTTACATAAACGTTTACTACAATTGATATATCCAATCTTGTTTAAAAAGTTGCTAAAATGAAAAACCTAACTACCAATTATATTTTATTTTTATTAATAATTAATAAATATGAAATACTTCTTTCTAGTTTATCCCTTGAATATTCAAATCAATCAAAAAAATGATTTAAAAAATAGTCAGATAGTATTTTCTCTTAACCAACTTTTAAATCAGTTATATATGACCACACATAAATGATTCCAACAACCTGCAATCTACAGCCTTAAATAAATGAATTTTCCAGAATGTAAAATTAACAACAATCATCAGCATTATATATGGTATAACCAAAGACAATATAATGTCGTGCGAAAACTCAAACGCCAGATGAAACGCCAGGCATGAAATTTTTCGTCGCATGCAAATGTATGGGCGTTACTCATCTTAGTGTTTATATTGTCTTTGGTATAACCCGGACCTGCCCGTGGCACGTATGTGATAAAATCAATGTTTTCAAAAAACTTTGAAAATGGTTTTGAAACTGATCGGACGGGAATCAAACAACTTTATGCAAATCGGACAAAACTTAAAATTCACCAAAAAAAAATCATTGAAATGCATTTTCCAGTTTAGATTTTGCGAAAAATGTAAAATACGTCTCAAATGATTTTTCTTATAGATCTTTGGAAATAAATTTGAACACAAAACCAAGGAGGGATGCATTTTTCAAAAAGTGCGAAACACCCCTCAAATGAATTTGAACATATATCTTTAAAAAAGAGTTTGGGGCCGATCGGATGGTAAACAAAAAACTTTCATACAACCGTTTTCCGCCAACTTACCAAACAAAAAAGTTACATACAAACATTTTTCGCGATTTTTCCACACTTGTGGGTGGAATTTCTCGAAACCCCGTCTTAACGTGCACCTACATCACATAAGGTAGCTACAGAGAAAATTTCAGCTTCCTAGCTCTTACGGTTTGGGCTGTGCCTTGATCACCAGTCAGTCAGTCAGTCAGTTAGCCAGTCAGTCAGTCAGTCAGGACAAACAGTTTTATATATAGAGATAACAAATAAACAAGCTGAGGCAAACAGCTGTCACTAAGTTTTGCGGCGAGCCCTTAGCCAATGTGAGCTGTTACCTTAAGGCTTAATTGCTCTTACATTATTAGGAAAACAATAAGATATTTAGTCAACAGGCCACTATCGAGCTGGCAGGCAAAAGTGATATCAAACATTGCCTTAACCTATCACGAACTCAAATTCTTGCATGTGCAGTTAGAAATGCTATTACAATGTCATTGCTAGCCTGTTGTTACACTGGTGTAAACTTGTCTCTAATAAACACATAATCAAGTTGAATTCACAGCAGGTGCACTTATTGTATTAGTACAAAGGACAGCCAACCTATGCAATCAGTACTCACACCCACACCCGCATCCGCCTCTGTCCGACCAGCACGACGGACACCTTACAGCTCATCGAGGCGCACATGCGCCGCCCATCTTGAAATTCCTGGCTAAGAGCAACATTAATTTGAGATAGTTTAGTTTATAACCCGCTTCAACTTAGGCGTGTTACGTTTCAATGCAATGCATGGCCCAAACAATTGCACAAACGGCAACAACAACACCAACAAGCTATCCATATAAGCTTGTCGACATATACTTAAATTAGTATTTGATACATAAGTACATTAAATCAAGTATAGTACTGGAGAATAACGGTTACTTATTAACAATATATTCAAACCCACAGATTAATATCAACCTTTTGTGTTTATATGTCATAAGGTATGGTAAGAGTAATAATAATATTGATAATAAAAACAGTTACTTTTAAATATTTGCATTGATAGCCAGCAATCTTTTTTATTAATAACAAATCACGTATATTACGAGAATATAACGAGAATATATCTCCCCCAGAGATTAACAGCTTTGAGGTGTGGCAGTGTTGCATATCTGACATCATCTCTCGGACAGAAGGCATTCTTGAGGCTGGCAGCGACCCAAAGGCAAAGGTGACAAAACGCAAGGAATGTTTGCAGCAGATGCTATTCAGGTTAATTAATGAACAGCAGATGGAAGAGTCTGCCTCGACTGCGTAACTGTAATTACAGAAACCGCATTTGAATATTGTGGAATTGTGTCAAATTTATTCGGAATCACTAAGGATTGCTTGTTTGCGTTTAAGTTTGGGTTTGAGTTGTTTAGCACTCGATTTTGTATTGGTCTCAGGTTTTAATTTCGGTTGTTCTACAGATTCTCCTTTGTTTGCCGGATTATTATTCTGATCCTCCTCATCCTCATCATCGTCGTCGCTTCCATCTTCGTACTTTGTTGGCTTAATGTCTGTGTTGCGATTGGTGCGTATGCCTGGAGTACGTTTGACTTCTGGCGGCACAGCCACAGGATTTGGATTCTCATCCTGTTCATCGAGATTACGATCGCCTTCGGTTTCATGTGTCTGTATAGATGTCTCCATATCGGTATCATCAGCCGTGCAGTGACGCATGGGCTTCACCCTGGGCTTGCGTTGATTCTTCTGCTCGCGACGCTTGTCTGATTTCTCCTTGCGCTCCTGAGCCTGCTCCTCCTTGGCTTTACGCTCGCGATCGAGCGCAGGATTTGTGCTCAGATCCATGAGTACCTTCACACAGCTATTGACTGGCTTATAGAATGCAAGTTTGCGCAAGCCCTGCACATGGCTTTGGCCAAAGCTCGACTCTAGTTTGGGCCGCAGCGACAGCTTATCCTTGATGGGGCCCTGCATGTGATAGTAACTGCCCTGACGCACATACAGCTGATTCTGCCCTGCGGGCATGGGATGGTTCACAACATCGAAAGCCTCGCCGCCAACGTGAAAAGTTTCCGAGCCATCGGACCAGCGTACGATGCGCGCGTTGGATTCTTTGTAGAGCGCGCCGGTTGTCTTATCCTGGCACTCGCGCCAGCGCACAGTGGTCATCAGTTTGGTAATAAATGCGTCACGGGCTTCCCGGTCGTTAAGATCTTCTGGACGCAGCGCATCCTTAAAGCTATGCGCCTCGTAAGCTTTCGGCTCGACGGGCATAAAATGTGGCATACGCAATACCCGGTCAAGATCACTTACCAAATTACCATCGATTGTTGGTAGCTCAGCCTTGAACTCGGCGGACAGTTTACTCTGATACTTATCCTTACAATACTTTTCAACCTGCTCAACCATCTCTTCAAGTTTCGCCTCACGATCGTCTGTCTCGGCGGCTACTGGCTGGACCAAGACATTACAATTGGAATCAGCATTTTCCAGCTTCTCAGGGTAAACTGGCTTGGCCAGGACCGAGAAACTCTTGCGGCTACCATCGCTGCAGCTGCTGCTGCGACTGCCACTGCTGCTGCTGCCGCTGCTATATTCGTCGCCGCTGCTAGAGGATCCCTCTTCAGGATCCTTTACTGGAGACTTATTCATATTTTTATTAGAATTATCACAATGTTTTGGAGGAAACTGGGAAAGCGAGCAGGACTTTAACGAGCTTGGATACTTTTATGAACAACAATGAAATCATAATGCAATTACAATATGATGAACTTACAAAATTCAATTTTTTAACATACCCTTTGACAGCCGTAGTATCGCCTTCTACGGTATGAAAACTATAAAAATTGAAGAACACATTAATTTGCATGCTCGTAGTCTCATATTTATTATTTCTTCATTAGAATTGATTTCGACATAACCTTTCTCAAATGCATACAATAGATGCACTACTCAGTAATAAAAGGCTAAATTCTCAGTGCATCTGCTTCTTCTTCTAGATAAACAGAGTTGCATCGAAAAGCGGAACTGGAACAAACTCAAAAGCGCTCTGTACTGGACACAGAGGCTTTTTCATTTAACGCGTTTCGTTCTCATTGAAGTGAAAACGCGGCTTAAATAAAATTTGACGCCCGTAAATTTTATGTATATGGAAAAAACTGGTTTTGAAAATTACTCGAAAATTATTAAAAATAGTTTATTGTAATTGTTTGCTTGTAATAAAAGTATAGCAAATAATTTTTATGATAATTCATTTCTAAATGGAAATAAAATTAAATAAATTGCTGCGAATTACAAGAAGATTACGATGAACTTAAGTCAGAGGTGATAAATATTATGGTGACATACAAAAACCAGAACACCATCGAGTATATTTAATTGATATACTAATTAATATATGGCGTCTATAGATATTATCTAAACCAAGCTGGCCCTACATGGCGCTGCCGTACTAGGAGATACCCTGTCACCCACTCAAATAGCCGTTACATATACGATATTTCTTTCCTAAACTGCGTAAATTAAGAATCGTTTTCTTAAAAAGGGTTCTGTATATTAAGTGATCTTTATTGATGATATAAGAAAAGCTTTATTCGGAACTTAGAGTTATACAGAACTGCATGAAAGCACTAACTATACAATGCATAGACATGTCAAACAGCGGAATAATCGGATACCGATAAATCGCCAACGACTGAGCCCCATGGGTGTCCGCAACCATTTTAGTGTGCTCAGAGAAAGTAAGACTGCTGAGAGTGGCAGCCGAACGCCGGCCTCGAAAGCCGAACGTTCAGTATGAAGCCGCATCTCGCTCAGCGCACAACGTCGCTGCGGCTGATGCTGTTTCATAATATATGTATGTTAGGTTTTAACCGCACTTGTCGCTCGTTTGCACTTTGATATGGACAAAATGCATGTGATCTTTTTATGTATTTTTCGACATTGTAAACATTTTGGGTTAAAGGGTTTTATGGCAGGCAATTAACGATAAGAATGTTCAGCATGCGTCTGCATCCATATCAAAGTGCAAACGAGCGGCAAGTGCGGTTCACCTGTTTTCGTTGCCTGTTCACACATTTGTGTCTTACGCGGCCGCAAGCCCACCGTCGCCCAAATTTACGCACCCATTGATGAAAATATCTCTGTCTCACGACAAACCCTTGATCGGCTCATTCGCACACAATTTTTTGTGTGTGTGTGTTTCTGTGTGTTGAGCTCGAAATTCAGAAATGCCAAAAACTTCAAATTTGGTCAAATTTGCATCGGGCAGGCAGGCAGGCAGCCTACACGCACACAAACGCATAAATGCTTCTATCCATATAGAAAGGTGTGTAAGTGTGTGTGCTTGGCAGGCCCAAAGAGTTATCATGCACTTATGCCAACGTTCAGGTACCCTTATCCTTAAAACATGCATGGAAAATAGGAGTTTTGCCCATGAACGGGCCAAACCCTTTAATAATGTCACTAAGAGTGACAACTACTTACTCGAAAAAGTGTGCGTGTGCACAAGTAGCAAGTCGCATAAATTGAACATTTTCAATTTTTGGTCTTTTCTTAAATTATTCGACAAGCCGAGGAAGAATTACCCTTGCAGAGATACGACATAGTTTTTTTTTTTTAATTTTAAGCAAAATTGGTCCCCACAGTAAGCAAAATAATTAAAATATAATATATAAATATATCATTTAGGTCATTTAAGTTTTTAATAAATATAAATATAAATATATCAGATTCTTCTCATTATGCCTGACTGGACGAAGAAATACATGATAGAGCATTTGAATGTGTGTGCCACAGGCACAAAGAGCAGACAATTGAAGAAAAAATCTCTGGCTCGCGACAAACGCCGCGATCTACTTGTGCGCACATCCACACAACGCAAACATATGTGCATATGCATATGTTTGTAGATCTCGGGGTTTTTGAGAAGCTATGCAGAGAGAAGGAGATGCACACAAGTGCGCAAATCAATAAGTGAGAGCGAGGCACACTCTGCACATGCATACACACATTGTGCGCTGAGCGAGATGCGGCTTCATACTGAACGTTCGGCTTTCGAGGCCGGCGTTCGGCTGCCACTCTCAGCAGTCTTACTTTCTCTGGGCACACTAAAATGGTCGCGGACCCATGGGGTCAGTCGTTGACGATTTATCGGTATCCGATTATTCCGCTGTTTGACATGTCTATGCATTGTATAGTTAGTGATGAAAGTTAAATTAAGAAAAACTCGTTATTTGTCGATTAATCAAACCTGAATTTATCTATATATCCCAAGTTCTTTAAGGATAAATGAAAATGAAAATAAATATGAAAACAAATGTACGCACACATTTACGCTAGGGAAAGAGTCGTAAACTTATGCTGATAATATAAACATATGTATTAAATTGTATTTAATTGATGAAATTAAAGCAGCTGGATACTCTGTACTCATAAAAGAAAAATAATATATCTACTGCATATATATTGCTCTTTAAGGAGTTATCTATAATCAAGGCACAGTTAAACCCAATATGTTATCTGAGAATTATATGCACAGCTGGGTAAGTTGGTGGCGTTTGAAAAACGGATTAAACACATGTTAAGCATATTTCAGAAAGTCCATGTCGAACTAATAATTACGCTTTCATCGATTTTGGAGGCTTGACCCATGCAAACCCGTCTACTGCTTACTAGAGTAAGAATGCAAAAAAACTTGTTTAGCCACTTATAAACATTTACACAACATTAACATACTTATTTCGAAATTTTTTGTGTACAGGGTATGTAAAATGGAGCAGTAATAATGTGGTGGCATTGACATCAAGCTGTGTAAAGTTTTCTAGATGAGAATGCCAATTAATAATTGAAAAGTGATAAGTGATAGTTATTGACTATCAATTTTCTGCTGCCACGCACATGACAGTGTTACTTCTTTGAAACAAAAAGAAAAATCATCAATCATATTTTATGTTTTTTTTTTTTTTAATACTCCAAGAAATAATATAACACCTGATGCTGAATAAAATATCAAACTTAATCAAATAAAATGCTTAATAATAAGTCAAAAGTTTGTAGTACAAAAATCGTAAATTGACTGATTGGCGATCAACGCATAGCCAAACCGTAAGAGCTGGGAAGCTGAAATGTTCAGTGTAGTAACCTTAGTAATGAAGGTGCACGTTATGACGGGGATCATGTGTGGAAAAATCGCGAAAAACTTTTGTATCAATCTTTTTTGTTTACCATCCGATAAGCCTCAACCTCTTTTTCAAAGATTTTTGTCAAAATTTATCTGATGGGAGTTTCGCACTTTTTGGAAAATCCATCCCTCCTTATTGGAAATGGGGGTCAAAGATTTGGTAGGTGACGTTTCGCGCTCAAATTCATTTCCAAGGATCTAATAAAAAAAATTATTTGAGACGTGTTTCACATTTTTCGCAGAATCCAAGCTTTCTCGGTAGAAATGCGATTCAAAGATTTATGTGGCGAAGATTTAAGTTTAAACTGATTTGCATTCTACATAAGAATTTAATTCAAATTCATTTTTAAGGATCTTTGTGAGAATTTATTTGATACGTGCTTGGTTGGCAAATGCGGGTCAAAAGTTTAACAAACAAAAGTTTATTTTAACATGGGCGGAAACTAGTGATTCCAACACTTGGTTCTTTATTCGATGCACCTAAAACATATCTTTAAATAGAAGTGGAGATCAAGATGGGTAGATTTCAATTTTCCATAGTTGTGTACTTAGTGGAAAAGTAATATTAGAGTTTTTAGCAAAGCCGGGCTATACCGTCTATTATATACTCAAGCTATACTTTTCAATGATGCTATGTTTAAAATGCAGTAAAACAATTGAATACAAGAGTTTATTCTATTTATTTAATTATTATTATTCATAAACCTACCTACGGGAACTAACTGACCATTCCCAGCTATGAGTAGGGGCATAGCTTGCCGGACAGGCTATTAGTTTTCGGTCAGCGGGTGATTTTCTATGATTATTTCTTTATCCTATTTACTAAACACTATATATATCTAGTATACAGTTCTTTACTTTACTTTATTAACAAAAAACTTCTATCTTTCTTTTTTCCTATTTATTGTATTTTCTTAAATAGTAAATTAAGATTGTTTTTAATTTTGCTAAAGAACACTATATTCTCTACTTACACCCTTCTTGTTAGCTGTAGGCTAACAGCTGGCCGGACAGGCAAATAAAACACCTCCATCGGTCGGTGATGCTACTAAAAAATTGTGTATTCTAACTAGGCTTTTAGCATTTAATTTTCATAACTTATATATAATGTATTGAATAATTAGAAAGACACTCGTCTTGTCGACCATTAATAAATAAATAAATAAAATGTTGCATATGTATATTCTAGACAGACCTTGTCAGCTTATCAATCTTATAAGTCTCCTTAATTGATGTGAGCTTTTGATATCCAATTTTTGCATCTAAATTGTAAGCTTCTGTAAGTGGAAAATGATTAAACATATCAATTACATTTTAAGCTTCATTTTATAAGAACAATAAATTGACACTCTCAAAATAAAGGCAATTTCGATTGAATAGACAAAAGTGGGAAACAAGTCTACGTGCAATATAAATTCAAGAATTAAACCGTTTCCACATGTTCACTCAAGATGCGAGCAAACGTGGAAATCCCCTTTAAGAATTTAAAATAATTTACGCATAGTTTTTAGAAAAAAGAAAGGAAAACACAAGTTTATATATGTGCATGTGCTCTTCACTATTTTGTGCCTTTTGGGTGCCTCGAAACACGCCATTCAAGTTCGTTAAACATTAAAGTGTAGGTGCTTTAGAAAAAGGCAACTAAACGTACACAGGCAATGAGAAAACCTGTGCAGGTGTGCATGTTTTTATACTAATGCAAACACACACTTGCAAGCCCTTACAAACACAAACAGTCAGTCGTGTTTGGCATTGCCAGCAGGCAGAGTG